TGTTTTTGTATTGTTCTTCAAGTTCCATTAAAAATTGTGTTCTATTGTCACACTTTTGGGCTTGATTTTATAAAATGATCTTTGAAACATGTTGTATTATGGGTTTCTAAGTGTTTTCTAGAAAATTGGCCCAAAATGTTGAGTTTTGATATGTTTGATTCTTGGTTTGAGCTTTGGAAACAAATCTGGAAAACCCAGATTTTGGCTTCCACGCTCGAGCGAAGGATTCCACACTCGAGCAACCACCTTTGTGTTCAGAGCTCCGCTCGAGCGACGGAATGCTGGCTCGAGCGTAGATTGTAAGCTCTTAGATTTTTGCGTGTGCAGACACACGCTCAAGCGACGAGATCCACGCTCGAGTGAGGAACTGTGTCTCACGCTCGAGTGAGCATCGAGTAGAGATTTTCAGCAACCAATACTTTTTGCATTTTTACAAACAGCACGAGCAAGGAAGTCTACGCTTGAGCGACCCTTCTGTTTTTGTAAGCTCGCTCAAGCAGAGAAAGCCACGCTCGAGGGAGACCCTTGTTTTCAGCAAATTTTGAAATGTGTTTTAAAGTGCAATTTTTGCATCCTCATCCCATCCTAGGCATTCCTAAGCCATGTTTAAGGCATCTTAATGAGGATAATGTTATAGAACCGCACCAAGCCATATAGGGGCTAAGTTATTAATTCTAAGTGTGTAACTTAGTGTGTGTTCATTCTGTAATTGTGTAGGGTTGGCACCCGAGGACGCTGATTAGCCTGTCTATAGCCCAGTAATTTGTGAGTAACAATGTTGTAAAGATACGTTCAATTATAATTATTTCTGAACAATTGATTGTACTGCTTTCTGAAATGACATTGTTTACTGAATGAATGTTTGTCCTATTTGTAAACTGCACTTGTGGCATCCATAGCAACTTACTGTTACTGTACTGTTACTGCTACTGTTACAGAGATCTCTGTCAATTCCAATGTTCGAAACTACTACGGTTTACTATTATGATGGCCATCAACTGACTGTTTGGTCTGTTAAGACCTACTGTACTGTCTTGCTATTGGATGTACCACGTATGACTGTTATGATTTCTAAATGACTGATATGGCATGAATTATGAGCCACTGATTGAATAACTGATTTACTGATGTAATTGACTGTTTTAATTAATAAAAGGACATTCATTCTTAACCCCTTTACACAGTTGTTATTCACTGGCCTTTAGCTCACTGTTTATATATGTATGTACGTAGCTAGGCACCGAACCGAAGCTAGGAGCGTCAAGTTGAGCTCTCGTTTTGTCAAGCCAAGCATTGGGCCTCACTTCGAGGTTCCAAGTCTGTTCAAGCCAAGGCTGTTTTGGGGTGTCCCAGATTCACCTTTTTGTCTCTATTTGTAACGAATGTTTAAGACTTTTGACTGTACAGTTATGGTGAAGGGATTGGATCCCTAACCTGTATGTTACGCATATCCGATATGTATATATGTTTTGGTTATGAATGTGGCTTTGTCCACAAAGTCTTTTTGCATTCAGATTTTCACAGCTCATTGGACATCCTTTATTTACTGATTGGCTTCCGCCAGCCCCTTACTCTGTACTGTTGTTGTTACTGTTAAGTAGGCCTTTGGTAATCACGGATTACTGGCCGGTTACGATGCTAAATCCTGAGGGGCGGGTTTGGGTCGTGACAAATACAAGACCCTTAAAACATCTTTTATTTAAAAACTCATCAATTCTTGAAACATTTGAACCAAAACTCCCTCATGCAAGATTTTTCAACTCTTCTCATGGTTTTTCATAACATGCAAATGGTAATCAACAAACTCATGAATTTCTGAAACAGTGGATATGATTTAAACTCACATGCATGAAAGGACTTTAAAACTCAAACTCAAAATGATAAAATCAAAGATAATCCACCATGAATGCACATACAAGCCACCTAAATGTTCAAAGACCCATTTCCTTACAAATATCATGAAATTAGCTCAATAATTTGATGAACTCATAATGCATGGAAGATTTACAATAGAAATTAGTCATAGAATTCTTACCCAAAGCTTTAATTTCATAAATGTTAGATGAATCTTTCAAGTTTCTTCAATCTCTAGCACAAAAATGGGTTTCTCTCTCTAAAATGAGCTATCTCTCTCTCTCTAAGATGAACTCTCTGCTCAAAGAAGTAGAAAGAACAAAAGAAATGTTGTCTACATTCCCTTACATTTCAGCAGATATACACATACACACACACTCTTACAATTTGAACAAACAGCACGTGCACACACATGCACCACTCCAACACACCCATAAGAATTTATCCTCTACACTCAACACCACCAAATGCCCAACTTAGATTTCTCAGTACACCCACACAGATTTCTCAGCACACACTCACTCAAGGATTTAATCCTCTGCACTCAATGTTACAAAATGCCTCAGCATATCATACACTTAATCATATATTGGATCATGAATAGGAGTAGATTAGGCATAAATCATGCATCATCTTAATTAAACACAAGTAACCTTAATTAATCATGGCTAGCACATGACTTAATTAATCCAAAACTGTTCTAATTAAGGCTCAATTTAATCACATGCGATTTTACTAATTTGAATCAATTTTTAACAAAACTTCTCATATGGTTCCAAATATTCCAATTAGTCTCTCCATGTACTCAAATTCGGTTTCGGAAAGCATTTAGGCTATCAATTTCGGATTCAAAACAGAAATCATGACAGATAATTCTACGAATAACAGATAGAAAGCCAAATGGCACATAAAATACACAATTAGCACATAATTCCCTTCTAAACAGTTAGTTAGCATTCTTAATTATGGATTAGTAGTTAATTACAGATCGGGGTTGTTACACTAACATTATTGTACTCCATTCATCTTATGAAATTGTGATTCTCAGAAAAATTTCTACTTATAGCCATTGCTGGAGAAGCGTGTATAATCGGATGGTTGTCGCCATTGCCACCAAAATATTGCCATTGGAGGGTTCTCAAGATTTTGAGGGTGGGTAAGTTTTGAAGGCTTTAAAGTATGTGGGTGGTGATGGATAGAGGCCATCAATGGAACGAGTTAAACTTACTCAACCCGCAACTATTGTGTTCAAATCCTAAATTTTAACGGGCTTTGACTAGTTAATGGGCTGGTACGAGCCGAACATATCTAAAAAACTAAATGCACATCCTATCCATAAGCCCAAATCTTCTAGGCCAAAATTAAACCGAACAGAGATACACATTTTTCTTTATACTTATATTATTAAGTCTTAATTATGGATTAGTAGTTAAGTACGGATCGGGGTTGTTACACTAACATTATTGTACTCCATTCATCTTATGAAATTGTGATTCTTAGAAAAATTTCTACTTATAGCCATTGCTGGAGAAGCGTGTATAATCGGATGGTTGTCGCCATTGCCACCAAAATATTGCCATTGGAGGGTTCTCAAGATTTTGAGGGTGGGTAAGTTTTGAAGGCTTTAAAGTATGTGGGTGGTGATGGATAGAGGCCATCAATGAAACGAGTTAAACTTACTCAACCCGCAACTATTGTGTTCAAATCCTAAATTTTAACGAGCTTTGACTAGTTAATGGGCTGGTACAAGCCGAACATATCGAAAAAACTAAATACACATCCTATCCATAAGCCCAAATCTTCTAGGCCAAAATTAAACCGAACAGAGATACACATTTTTCTTTATACTTATATTATTGAGTTCTACACATATTTCATTCACAAATTTTTAATATTTTCATTAGTTATTTTTCTTATTTCCTTTCCAACATAATTAAAGTATTTTGATTTTTTTTATACCTTTTCTACGTCTCATATAATCAAAAAACAATCCAGTAACATATAATACCTACAAGCGGAGGGGGGAAAAAATAGAAACTCATATAATCAAAAAACAATCCAGTAACATATAATACCTACAAGCGGAGGGGGGAAAAAATAGAAAAAATAAAAATAAAAAGCTTTAAACATGAGAACCAAAAAAAAAAAAAATTCAAACTAAGCATTAGACCAAAAAAAATTAAACTAAACATTAAACTTACCTGTGTGCGCTATTACGAACCAAGTTTATGACCGGGCTCAGGTTACAAACTTTTGTCCAAAGTCTTAACTCATCTTTTATGGATCTGAGCACTCAAGCAGGCTGGAACGGGCTATGGAATGAGTTGGTCGAGTTGGGTAATATCAGATTTTTTATCCGCGGGCCATTTGGGACCCCTAGTAATGGAGGTAAGTGTTCTCATAAACCCTATCTTATGATTAAGTAGGTGTATGAACTTAATTGTGAGATAGAATATCTCAAATTGAAATCCTCTTTAGTAATTTCATTTGAGATTATTATTGTCATAAAAATAGGGTCCAAAATAATAAATGGAGTGATAATAGCAACACTCCAAAAATAATAATAATAAAATAATGACAAAACATCACTGAAAATTTAAAATCAACCGTCAAGATTCATTCAAGGTTTGGTTCCACAATAACAAACTTGCATACACACCATAGATAAAAAAAATAATAAAAATAAAAATAGATAAAAATTTCAAAATCATGGTAATTTTTTGAGTGTTTTCTGGTATCCTAAAATTTTCCATTCCCAAATAAAAAGATAGATAGCCCTATTGTATATGCCAATCATATCAAGCAGAACACGGCAGCAAAATTGTATCTTAAAAATTGCTCATACTGAATTGGTGAAACTGAAAACCTGCAGGGATGTTTTCAAGCCAAAATTTAGTAAGAAAATGTACATGAAATAATATGAAAAAATGATCTTCTGCCAAAATGTTGTAGTTCTAGCTGCTCTATTTCAGAATTTTCTCAGCAAAAATCCATCTAAGTTCTTCCAAGACTATGAATTCTTCACCTGTTAGCAACATGTTCATCAAATAAGAAAAGAAAACAAAAGAAAAGAAAACAGGCCAAGAACTAAGAAATCATTTGTAGCTCACTCACTTCACACTTGGACAAACACAAATTTAATTCACTGCATTACAGAACCAAACATGTATTCATTTCTTCAAACTCTCATATTTATTACTACAGAAATCATAGTATATTACAAAGATGTGATACAGAATGTAGCTCTTGAAAAAAAAATCCGAGCTAACATCAAGAAAATCTAGCAGTACACGAACAAAAATCAAACCGTGCACACAATAGTATACGTATGTATGTATATACATGAACTAAAAAAAATAATTATAAAAAAAAATGATGGTTTAGCCTACATGGATATACCTCTCTTGTGGAACTGCACTAGTTGTCAAGCCAGAAGAGCTTGTTTCTTGGAATTTATGGAGGATTTTGATAAGCGAACACGCTTTCTTGCTCGCGTGAAAAGTACCATCGGTGAGAAGCGAATAGAGCAAAGTTATGAGCGAAGGGTCTTTCGCCAAAACAGCCACCACATCGATGCCACATTTGATGCACAGAGACAGCAAATAATTGGATACAAGACAGTACTCTTTCCCTGCTCGAGGGATTCCGAAGATTCGCAAAAAAAGGCCTATCACTCGTGGCAAAGCTGGTGTTTGTAGAATTGCGATTGATCCTTCGACGCTCTCTGATAAGGTTGAAAGCACTGCCAGTGAATCTGATATAAGCTCATCCTTGTTTGAAGATGCTAAAATGTCGGCTAACAATGGAATTGTCTCGGCTTCAAGCACTCTATGACGGTTGGCATGGTATAAAAGGAGCCCGAAAATTGCCACCACAGCGTTCTTTTTCCCACATGCCGTGCCTTCTTTGATTAGCTCCACCAAAGCTGGAATAGCATTGGGCGTTCCACCGATCAATTTTCGATACTCGTGAACTGATGACAGATAAAAGATCGTTGCAGCTGCAATTTGTCGCGATTCCAACTTTAGTCCCTTTTTAAGAACCGATAGAATTGAATTCAAACCTCCATTTTCGATGATCGCTTTCTTGCCAATTGAATGCTTAGAGAGCTTTAACAATGCCGCAATTGCATGCTCTTGGATTGATGGATTAGTTGAATCAAGCAATTCAAGTAGAGGCGGCACGGTGCCAGATTCAACCAAGCGAGACCGGTTGAAAATGTTTGATTTCGCGAGCAAACGAATCTCGAAAGCCGCCTTGTTTTTCTGCTCGTCTGTTCCATGGTAAAGTCTGTTGGCGAGAAAATCAGCGAGAAATTTTACAGTTTCTGCGGCTACTGGACTACCCGCGACAATCGTCCTCGTTATGTCACGATTCTTCTTTCTCGATTTCGCAAGCGAAATCCCATTATCGGCGCAGAACTGGTGAATGAGCTTTCGGAGAGTGGAATTGGGGACCAGCTCTGTGTTTGTCAATTTTTCCCCTGTTTTGGGACAGAGGAGGTTTCCGGATTTGAGCCATTTTTGAATCGAAGGTCGATCGTAAGTCTGACCCGTTGAAACGGTTACCGGATCAATCATCAGCTCGAGCGAAATCGGACACCGAAAATCTTCAAGACTTAAGCAGCTAAGCGTTTCCAGATTACATTTACCATCTGTTTGATCAGTGTCTCTGTGATATTCACTTGTTTCAAACAGAGCTCCCCTGTTGTAGCTCATGAACCCAATTAAACTGCTCAACAAGAGCAGCTCTCTCTCATTACTATCCATGCACTCCAAACTAACCACTTCATCTAAAAATTTGATTTCACTGTGACACTCACTCCAACTTCGAATCTCAAGATAATCGATAACTCGCTTGATGAAACTCCGGTCCGGTTCAAACCTGTTTTCGAATTGATTCAATATCAAAATCACTCTGTTCATCGCACTTTCATCATCTGGGTCGACTTCCAATTTCGCTTTTCGAGCTTGCTTCGCCACCAATTCGACTAGTTCTTTGATTTCGCATGACAAATCTATCGAACCCAATGGTAGAACATCAAGAGCAGTCGCGACAGAGCGAATCAAAACGCGAAATTGCGTCGCTACGAAGTGGCATTTCATTAGAATCCACAACCGAGAGCCTTCGCGAGTGCAATCTTCGAACAAGAAGAGAATTTTTTGGAAAGAAATGTGGAGCTCGGAGAAGCAGAGGACAACTGAGTGGGATAAATTGGGCAGTCTGTCTCGGATTTCTTCAAAGAAAATCAGCAGAATTCCGATTTGGCGAATCGTTTCGCGAGCGATTCGTTTCTGGGTTGCGAAGAATTTGGATTGAAAACTGCATATGTCCCGACACAGAGTGATCAGTGATTCAAGAAGGGTCGCCGGAGATATGGCCTCACAGGGATGAACCGCCGGAAAAGTCAGAAACCGGCGATCCGACCTGTCAAATTTTTTAATCATCGATCGAAATTGAAACTGAATTAACTGTTGTACGATGAAGTATATATATTCAGAGTCTAACTATGCTCCGTTTGTGAAAATAAAAATAGAATCATGGGTTTTGGTGTTTTTAAATAGAGGATCTTGGGGGACACGTGGCGAAAACCCATCTGTTTGTTTGGCTGTGCAGACTTGAGTATTTGCCATGGTAATAAGTGTGACACGTGTGTGGCGACACGTGGGGGGATGGGGTTGGGTAGTGAAGTTTCTTGGATCATGCTCGGGTGACATTGGGGGGAGTACAGAGTTGGGAATAAGTGGGACCCACAGTGACCGACGTGACACGTGGGTGGATATGGATGGTGACGTGTTGCCCGACAAATGGGGGAAGAGTTCGCGCGTTTTGAGAGATAGAGATCAGAGAAGCAACTTAAGCCGAAAACGACAAGGCCCGTCTGTCTCTGATTGTTATGTGGCTTTCAAGAGATAATAATTACGTGTCTTTTGTGCAAAGGAAGAGGTTAGGAAAAGGATTTAGAGATTGTCTAATTTAAATTAACAATAATGATTCATTTCACTAAAAATATTACCATTAATAATGTTAATGCATTAAAAAAGTAAAAAAAAAATAAAAAAAATACAACTCTAAGACCAAAATATCACATCATTAATGACGGGACCCACTGTAAAAATGGCCAAAACGACGTCGTTTTGGCCATTTGAGCCACTTTTGAGCCACAAAATTTGAGCTACGAGACATTTTCCTTTAAATTAACAATAATGATTCATTTCACTAAAAATATTACCACTAATAATGTTAATGCATTAAAAAAGTAAAAAAAAAATAAAAAAAATACAACTCTAAGACCAAAATATCACATCATTAATGACGGGACCCACTGCCACCTAATTAGTGGGAGTACTAATTAGTGCTCCCAAGCATTTTTCTTAAATTAATTTTATATAATTATTTATTTATTGATCTAACACCTATTAATTTAATTTTTAAAATTTTATTATTGTGTGGCATGTTTATTAATAAGACAAATTTGTAAGAATTATGTATAATATATTTTTCTTAGAGAATCAGCATCAGAGTCGTTACAACGACTTTGATGCTATTGTAGAGAGCCAAATTATAAATATATTGATGTATCAAAGTCGCTATGGGTTTCATTCATTTTGACAAAGGTACAGTTCTTTCTCTGATGAAGCGAGGAACTGTTCACATGATAATCAATTTTTTATTATATTTTCTTTTCCGTGCTTTTTTCTCTCGCCAACAAGAACACTATCTCTCATACCACTATTACTGTCAACACTTACCACAGCCAACACAAAAATTTCATTCTGACCATCTTGGAAGTTCATCAGGTTCTCTCTCTCTCTGAACTGGAGCAAAGCTGGGGTCATCCCCCAGGATGTCCCATGAGAAGAAGAAAAATGCTAAAATTTTGCTTAATCGGTCCACCGCCCGATCATCTGGCCGGTCGACCACCCTGGCTTCTACTGTTCTGTTATTGCTTTAGTGTTGTTTTGGGTCTTATTTTATACCTTTTTAATATATTTAAATTGAAAAATATAAAAGAATAAAAAATAATATTTAATGAAATAAAATTTTAAAATAGAGAGTTTGATGGAGTATGTATATAAAAAAGAAGCTAGCTAAAATAAAAAAGTGAATTTTGGGTTATAATTTGACTCAAAATTTACTGAGGCTGATGCGGATGCTCTTAAGCTTAAGAAAAAGATTAGGAAAAATGGAATTCATGTTTATGTTAATGTTTTGCTAATAGTGAAATATAGTTGTGAAAAAATAATGGGACATTTTTTCATAAATTACTTTTGACCTACTTATATTTTATTTAGTCTACATTATTTTCGTATATTCCAATAAGTCCTACGAGTGACATAGTTACCAAAATACCTCTAATAATATTCACATTTGCAGTGCAAATGTTCCGTGATATGAATATTCACACTTGATATTCACATTGTAAAATATGAATATTCATATCACAAAATTGCTAACCATTCAAAAAATATTTGTAAAGGCAAAAATGCTCATAAAATACTTTAAATATGAGAATTAGGATTTGGTAGAGCAAATGTTCAAATAATAGGATTTATTGGAATACAAGAACATCTTATAGACTAATTGGGATATAAACACTTGAAAAGGGATTTTCTAATAAATCTTCCAAAAATAATTTAAATAAATTTTAAAAAATAATTATCTAAAAATTAGAAGATGAATGCTTTTGGCTTCTACATTTTAATTATTAACTTTTGGCTTATAATAAGCCACACTTCAAATGTATCACCAAGTGTTAAAATTGTATTAATTCATTTGCGTTATGTATTAGTCTTATTCAAATATTCCAATTATAAAGTATCATTGTGTTATAACATTTTTCTTATAGGACATGCACAAAAAGAAAAGGAGTTAAATTACTTTTTCATATTTATATTTAAGCTAATTAATATCATGTGAATGTGTTGAAAATCTACAGTCTGAGGACTTTAAATTCACCATGTTGTAAAGGAAATAAACAGATAAAGAAGAAAAAAAGAGAAATAATTAAGTGAATGAACAATAGAATTATCAACAAGAAATTACATTACGTTACTCCTACTTTTAATCGTCGAAGAAGCTAAAAAGTAATACATCTATAAGTTAGGTTACATTTACTGCTATAATAGAATAAATAAAAAATATATAATCAATTCATGTTGTTAGGTTTTATTCTTGGCAACTCCGTTTGATAAAACTCCTTTCAGTTGTATTTGTTTTCGCACATTTTATTTCAGTGAGGTTATGAGTTTATTAGATGCGAATTCAACCCAAATCGTACATTTGTTAATTTCCATGGATCAAAACTGAGGGTGTAACAAGATCTAGTTTTCCAGATTTTCCAATTTTGGTCGTCTCGCTCGAGCAGGGAAAGTGATGCTCGAGCGGGGTTTGCAAGCTCACAGCATCTCTGTTTCGCCTGAAAAAGTACTGAATGGTGTGATTCGACGCTCGAGCGTGGAAACTTCTGCTCGAGTGTGAAGCCTATATAAATCACACAATTTTGAAGCCTCCGCTCGAGCGGGAGTTCTCACGCTCGAGCGGACCGCGCGAACACAGATTCTTGGATTTCTATAAGGAATTGGTTTTCTTCAAAAACTAGGATTACTTTGGTTTTCTATAAGTAGTTGGGTTTCTCCCAAAACTTGGATAACTTCTCCAGATCTTCTTTTTGGATTCTAAAGTTTATATCTGGGGATATTTTGCTAGTTTACTTTGATGTTTTGATTGAGTATTCAACTCATGGTTTTAGAAGTTTACATCAAAGAATTGTTTGTTTAATTCCATACAAAAGAGAGAGTTCTTCTTCGGTGGATTCTTAAGAATTTGAACCTGAAACTTTGGTGGATTCCGGAGTGGCTCATCGTCAAGACAATTCCGAGGTGAAGACGGGGTTGGAAGAGACACATAGTGGTTGGTTCAATTCGGGCGTGGATTCGCTAGGTAATTGAGAGTATACCTGTGTAATTCCTTTATATCTTTTTAGTGGATTGTTTTGTGGCTGTTACCCGTGGTTTTTTTTTATCACAATTGGAGGTGTCCAATTGTGATTTTTCCACGTAAAATCGCTGTGTCGATTTGTCTTGATTGTTTGATTGTGATTATTATATACTACTTAAAATTGATACATAATCACAAATCAACATCTAGCGGGTTTCTAAATTTTTCAATTGGTATCAGAGCAGGTCGCTCTATTTTTTTTTTTTGTTTTACAAATCTATTAGAGCGAGATCTTGTTTGATTTGTGATAATAGATTCAATTTGTGAGGGAAATTCTATGGTTCGACCACCACTACTTGATGGATCCAATTATTCTTTTTGGAAAGCTCGGATGAGGTCGTTTTTGAAATCTATAGATGAAAAAATTTGGCAATCTGTCATGAATGGGTGGACCGAACCAACAATTACCGTTGATGGAGTAACTTTTCCCAAACCAATTGAAAAGTGGGACACAATTGATTACCAAAATAGTACCTGGAATAGTAAAGCTATCAATTCTCTCTTTTACGCTGTCACACTTGAAGAGTTTAGTCGCATTTGTAATTATGAAGTCGTAAAAGAGGCTTGGGATATCTTACAAACTGTTGATGAGGGCACTCCTTCTGTGAAACACTCAAAACTTCAAAGGCTCACATCTAGTTTCGAAAATCTTTCAATGAAAGATAGTGTGACCTTTGATGAATTTTATGCAAAGTTGAGTGACATTGTAATTTTCAGCTTCAATTTAGGTGAAAAAATACCAGAATCCAAAGTTGTGGAAAAAATTTTGAGATCCTTGCCCGATCGGTTCCAACCAAAAGTTACGGCTATTGAGGAGGCTCAAGATGTTGACAACCTCAAGCTAGATCAGTTGGTTGGAAATCTCCAAACTTATGAGGCACATAGGAATTTCAAAAAGAAACAAAAAGATATTGCTTTTAGTAGTGCTCATAGAGTTGGAGAGGATTCTGATGAGGATTGTGAGATAGATTCCAAGATTACAGATGCTTTTATAAAACAATTTAAAAAATCTTTTCTGAAAAAGAATCTTAAACTTTTGGAATCTACTCATACTCATAAATCTAAAGGTAAAGATAAACTTAAAATTAATTCTATAGCCAAGAAGGAGAAAGGAAAGATACAAGGGAACTCTGAAAGAGTCCAATGCTATGAATGCCAAGGATATGGCTACTTTGCTTCAGAATGCCCCACTCGTTTGAAGAAGAAGAAAGCCCTCACCATTACTTGGGATGATGAATTAGAATCTGATGAAGATGAAAGTGACAATGAAGATCAAAGTAAAGGAGGACATAAACTATTCCTTGCTTTCATGGTGGCTTCTGAAACTGAAGGACGAACAGAGTATCTGAAGGGCCCGGTCGAGAATACCACTGATGATGAATCCTCGTGAAGTGATGATGAAGAGCTTGAGCAAACTTATGAAAAGTTGTATAAGAAATCTCTTAAGTTATCCAAATTGAATGACAAACTCACTATGAAACTCACAGCATGTGAAAGTGAGAATGTCAAACTAAAGGAGGAGATTTCCGAGAC